AAAGGGAAGCAGTCGTTCAACAATAGATATCAGAAGACAAACACACACAAAGTGGAAGGAGATGGACGGCAGCCCTGAAGGATGGGGCGGCCTGAAGGATAGCCTACAGGAAAGCTGTAGCCAGAGAGTGTTATGTAAATGACGCCATACAAACGGATGAACAAAGGAGGAAGAGCAGCAGGAGCAGGATAAAGCAGCAGCAGTAGCCAGAGATACGGAATCCAAAAGGAACCCAAGAGAAACCTTCAGTCAGATAAGCAAATGACAAACAGCAGCTGGTGGAGTAAACCTTAAGAAAAGCCGGAAACGAAAACCTAAAGAAAAATTTAAAAAAAAAGATGGCACAGAATACAGACACCATTGGACATCCGCCCAAGAATAAAACTGCATTTTGTATAAAATCTTTGCGATTTTTCTACCAACTAGATTTCCCATTTATCTCCATGTCATTTCACTGATTAGCGCAGCAAAAGAAACGCAAATGAAATTAACAGTAAAGTTAATGAGAATTTTGCCAACTTCTAGCCCCGAAAATAACTACGATGTGCATTACGTTCGCGAAGGAAAACTTTTTGTTTCTCTAGTTTATCATCATAATTTGAGTGCCAAAAAGTTTAGAGAGCGAACAAGCGAAAGGCACTGAAAACTTGATGCAAAGTAAGTGCCGGTATTCCCACAGATACTACAGATACAGATATAAATATATATATATATATATATATATATATTTTATATATCTGAAGAGAGAGAGAGCGCGCATAGTTTTCATTAAAACTTCTGACACAACGAATTTGTTGATGGTTCCTCTTGGTTCCTGGCTCCTGCTGCCTCTGTTGTCACTCCCCCGTTGGCAAAAACAAACACTCCTCTGCATGAGCGAAAAATCGTACAATTTTCATGGTTACAGGACTTCTAGGCGACTTATTTTTTTCCTGTTTTTATTAATTGTTGTTGCACTTGTAACTTTGTTTTCGCAGAGTTTGGTTTTTAGTTCTTGTAAAAAACAAAAAAAGGGAGGGAGGGAAAAACAACAGCAACAGAAATGGAAAAACATTTGCCCCAAACAACAAAGTGCGAAATGTTTGTCAACACTTTTTTTTCTGTGCCAGAGGAGTTATGTTTCCAAATGTTCTCTACAGAATAGGGAAAAAGGTCATGTGGCAGAAGGTTATGTCTATGGGTATGTGGCAGGCGGTTGTCTGGCAGTTGGAGAGCGCCCAACGCGTTAGAGTTCTGGTAGATCCAAAGTTCAAAAGGTGTAGAGTACGGGCAGAGTTCTCTTACAGCTGCAACGGGCTTAAAAAGTTCTGCGTGTGTTGCTGGCCAAAGCATTTAATATCAATTGAAAAGGTGCAAAAGAAAGTTCATCAACAACTTCTGGCCCGTTAGCAAAAATGCCTTTGATATATGAAGCCACACAGTAGGTTTGACATTCTATTCTATAAAGGGAGTGGAATGTACTTTAGATGGAGGAGCAATATATCACATTTTAATTGGTGAAGTTTTTGCATGTAAGACAGGGCTTTAGGTAGAAGTTCGACGTAAAAGAAACTTCCAGCGTTTAACTTTGAAAAATCTCCAAGACTCTCCCTCTTGTCCCTATTTGCAAGTATAATTTTCCCTCCATCTAGTAGCAATTAATAAACCCAAGCAACTCGACGGGACCATTCATTTCCGTTTCCGCCCACTCATTACAGTTTTACAGCCACTTCCTAATTATGCAAAATGGCGAAGAGGTGACATTTCATTTTCGTAGACGCTGCTTCGCATCCTTGGATTCATTTTAACAATGCCAATTTAAAATTAATTTTCAATTAACTTTCTCGCCTCGTCCATCTGTGCCCTTGCTGAATGGAGTCGAGTCGCAGGAGCAACCATTTCCCCACTTTCCGTTCTCCACTTGCCATTTGCCATTTATAGTTGCGAAACTTTTGTCCTTTTGCCTTTTCATAAATTGAATTTTCCGCTTTTTGTTTCTGTCAATTAATTCCCGGACAAGGCCGCCCAATAGCCATTGTAGGAATGATACTACTGGCCACGGACACGTAGGCTACTTAGGCGCCGGTGCCTCTCTCCACCCTCTCCCCTGAATGGGGGAGGAATTTCCATTCAACAATAGAGTGCCGTGTGCCTTCCGTGTAATGGAAATCGACACACAGTTGAGCTCTTTTCGCAGCTCAGGTTCTCCACCGCCTGCCCCGTGTGCAGTTCCTCAATTGAAAACTCAAATGCCAGCTTCCATTTAGGGCTCAGACAGCATCATGGAGCAGAATGGTGGCGGGCTGGAAGGCAGACTTAACCCTTGGCAGCCGCAAAAATAACTGTTTGGTATGCATTTTACTCTCAAATGTTCCATTGAATGGTGAATGGAAGATGTTCACACTGGCGGAAAAATATATAAAGGAATTTGCAGGAAATATATTTGCATTGAATTAGTAATAAAAAATATAGTAATCGAATTCTATAGCGAGCACATATTTAATTCTTTATTTCTTTTTGAATAAGGGCCAAGGAGCATTAAGAGAGAAATACCGAAATTATAGGCTTTCCTTGGAGTATTTTATTTATTATTTATTTATTTAATTTTTTAAATTATTATTTAAATATTAATTTGATTTATTAATTTTTGTATTCTTTTATTTGGACGCATTTTTTAAAACCAGCAAAAAGACTTTCTCTCAGTGTGCTGTTCACTTGAAGCATCTGTAAATCCCATACTTAGGGCAACCTTTGGCACGCCACCGCTCCACACTCCACTCCACTTATTTCAGCTGCTACTGCTACACTCCTCTTACTGCCTCTTCCTCCTGCTGCTCTTACTCCTGCTCCTACTTCTGCTCCTGCTCTTGGTGGGTGCGTTGTTTTATCGCAAACGATGCCATTACAAGGCGATTTGAGCTCCATTTGTGCTAGCCATTCCCGTTGCCACGATAACTTGACAGTCACTTAGCGGGTTCGCGTCTGCTCTACGATTTAAAGGAGCGGGGAAAAATCCAACGATGAGGAGTAGGACAAATAGCAGCAGAAGGTGTATGGTGTGGTGTGGTGTGGTGTGGTATTGTGTGGTGTATCAAAAGTATCAGTTGGAAAGTACAGCGGTCGAAATGTACTTGCGGATTAAACTTGTCCAACGGCAACACCTGTGTCCTGTGCAATTCGAGTCGACTTCACTTTACTCGTACCCCACCAAAAATGTTACTTCCCTCGACTGACTGACAAGCAAACAAGCCGAGCAGCAGGAAAAGCCAAGTGAGAGAGCCACTGAGTTCCCTTCTACTACGGTGTAGAAAAACTTTGTCCAGAGATGCACTCTACTCCGACTACCCATATCAACATTTGTCCCGCCCCTCAGGAGTCAAGTTCTTTCTTCCATAACGAGAAAGTTCTATCTACCTCTCTGTGGACTCTCTCTCTGCGAGTGTGTTTGTGTGTGTGTGCGACAAAGTTTTAATAGTCTCACATTTGAGTGTTCTAATGATATGCTAAACTGACTAACGAGTCTACTGTGTGTCCGTCTGTGCCACACAGACCGACTTTCGACTCGTGACTCGTGGATTGCTTTAGGTGTTGGCCAAAAGAAAACTTCTTTGACAAATGAGGAATGCGGGCACAGAGCAGCAGCAGCGGATGAAAAACTAAATACTAAGAAGGATATACTTTAATAAGCGGTGGAATGGTAGTTTGTTTAGTACAGAAAAGTCTAAAATATTAAGTAGGAGGAAAATATATAAGCATTAATTAAAAGCATTAATCAGAGCTTATTTATTTGGTTTACTTATATTTGAGAAAAATTTTAATTTCCCTTTATATACAAAAATGTGCGTCATAAAAAGTTAAAAAAATACCAGAAATAACAGAAAATACTAGAAAAGTAGTAGAAAATGTAATGCACACAATATCAAATAGAGCATACAAAAACCAAAAACAAAATACTAAAAACGAGAAGGAACGTGTGAGTCGTTTCTGGGGACACGACTCTACTTATACCCGTACTCAGTCAGTATATACAGCTTATGATTTTGTAGAATTTTGGAAAAAAAAAAAAAATTTTACATTTTACATTTTTTTGCTACATCTGCTATCTACATCTACATATACAATGTCTATTCTACATCTAACATGTAGATTGTACGTGTTCCATTTAGATTCTACATCTCCTCCGCTAGGGGTTGCTCGCGCACTGAACGCGGCAGAGTGTGCGAGCGAGAAAGAGAATCAGTAGCGTCAGCAGCGCTGGAGAAGGAGAGGGAACCAACAGAAAATTCATTTCTTCATTCTGGCTATAATTATGATCCGATCTGATTCAGATTCGGCAATCTGGTAGATATGGTTATTTTCTACGATACTGCGCTTTCAGTTTTATCGTATCTTTAAAATTGTGGCTGCCACAGATTTTCGTCCTTTGTGGGGGCGGAAGGGGGCGGGGCGAAATTTTGAAATACACTTGTAGCAGTGTGATATCACATGAGTCTGGAAAACAAATTTGGTTGCCCTAGCTCTTATAGTCTCTGAGATCCAGGCGTCAAACAAGACGGACAGACGGACAGACAGACATGGCTCTATCGACTCGGCTATTGATGCTGATCAAGAATATATATACTTTATGGGGTCGGAAACGTTTCCTTCTCTGCGTTACACACATCCACTTTTACCACAAATCTAATATACCCCTTAACTCTTTTTTGAGTACGGGTATAAAAATAGGAAACATAACGGTAAATAAATAGCAAAAACTAGTGGAAAAATACTATATTTATGTCACATTTGAAGTGTATTCTTTGAAGACTTTTATGCCCATTTAAAAGTATGTAAATTAGACGGCATCTATATGTTTCTTATTTATTCTTATTTTCTTCTTTAGGTCAAAAAATAACCACTATTTTAATTCGTTCCTTATGTAACCTTAATATATACTCCCGTTCAACGCAGATTTTTCCCTTTTTATAAACTAATAAAAAATCAAATCAAATTTACTCGCTATAACTTGGACTTGGACTTACCTTTCCCAAATTGACGAAACCATGATCCCTGGCTACCGCATCGGCCATGCCATTATCTCCATTGGGTATATGCACCGCCCAGGTGTGTGTATAGTGTCCGACAGCGTTGTTGTTGCTGCCGCTGCCGCTGCCACCAGAGTTGCCATACTTTGCCCCATTGTTGGGAGTCAACTTGGCCCTGCCACCCGACTCATAATCGAGTACATAGGGTGGCAGCACTGGCGATTGGCCAGCATCCACTTTGAGTGATGGAGGAGCGGGCGTTGGTGGCGCTGATGCGGCGGAGGAGGAGGAGGAGGCTGCTGCCACACTTCCATCCACGAAACCGACATTAAAATTACATAAAAAAACTACGGCACTAAATTGCAAAATGAACAGCAATGCCGATGTTGCATTAGTTGTTATTCTTTTCGTTTTTGTTGAATGTCTACTATTTTTGTTGTAGTTGTTGTTGTTGTTGCCACTTAGTTTCGTTTTGCAATGCGGTAAAAAACTAATTTTGAATAAATTGCAATTGAAATTGAAATTTCTTATATCACATTCAATGATTGTTTGTTGTTCTTCTTCGTGCTGCTGCTGCTGACAGGCATTGTTCCATGCAACATTTGTGTGTGAGGCGGCTCTCCTTCTCGCAGCATGTTGCACATTCAATTTGTTGCATTTGCTTCTGTTGGTGTGGTTTCTGTTGCTGCTGCTACTGCTACTGCTGCTGCTGCTGATATTTCTGCTAATGATGTTGCTTGTTGGCTGCCTGCTCCATCGCACGACGTCGTTTTTCATGTTGCGTGTAGATTTTTCCAATTTTTGTTCTTGGAATGCTGGCAGCGGTAGGAGGGAGTAGTTTTTGTTGTTGTTATTGTTTATTGTAGCTGTGATGTTGCTGTAAAGACAATCAAAAGAGAGGGAGATTTTATTAGAAAAATGTTGCATACTTTTAAGCGTAGTGCTAAAATGGCCAGACTTTCCATTTAATTACAATAATTAATTATAATTAATTCTCAATAATTTTAATATGAAATGCAGAATTACAATAATTAATTATAATTAATTCTCAATAATTTTTAATATGAAATGCAGAAAAATGCTGTTGGTTTTTTATATATAATAAAATTTGTAATTTTATCATTCATTTATATATAATTAATTTCCCTTTGGCTTCCACCACTGTTAACATTCTCTAATGCAATCATTTCACCTCTGAAATCTCATTTAAATATTCTTCAGCATCACCGCTGATTGCCATGGAAACCTTTAGTTATTTTTGCACATTTTCTTGATGTCAATTGCTGCCCTGCCTCTCGACCCCAAAGGCCAAAACGCAGAGCATCGCATCGCAACGGTTGTGTTCTGCTTTTACGAGCTATCTTTATAAACAGAAGAAACAACTTTTCAATTTGTCTCAAGATGTCAGCCGTCACGTCAGGTTGTTCCTTGCTGCACTTTGAAGTCGCAACGTTGCCCCCATTTCCCTCTCTCTCTCTCGCTCTCCACCACCAACAACAACAAGAACGTTTCTTTCATCAGCATCAGAAACTGTGCATCCATAGTTGCCGCCCGCTGTAGGATGCTGTAGGATGCCGTAGGATGCCGCCCAGTGGCTGCTCTTGTCGTTGACTTTGACACCGTTTTCCACTTTTCGTTAGCATGTGAGCGAGATATGTAGTAGGTCCTGGGGCCTCGGTGTGCCCCCTGCCTCCTGCCCCTTTCCACGTTGACATGGCACTTATTTTCTTATTATTAAGTATACGCTTACTGGCGGTGGATAGGAGAGGAGCGGCAGGAGCTGCCTGCTACTGCTGCAAGTAATGATTACTTTGTGTCTGCCACTGACAAATGCCGTCACTCAAAGTCAAAGTCCTTGGGACTGCTGCCACCGCCAGCAGAGGAAGCAGTGCAGCAGCCTGAACACTCCTCCAGTGATGTAGATGGCGTTGACGATGACTCAATGCGAAAGAAATTGGCAGGCACAAAAGGTGCATCCACCAGTGGCAGTGGCAGGGGGCAGCAGGCAATGTAAAAGAGTCGCCAGTATCTCTCTCTCTCTTTCTCTCTAGTTCCCTTAGCTGTCTGTCTCTTTCATTTTTTTTTCTGTACATCTCTTGCTCGTGGTATTTACTTTCCATAAAAAAATGTATTTTAATTTTAATTTCTTTCCCCAAATAATTAAATTTAAAATTTGACTTTTCTTTCAATATTTTCCGCAGTTAGCCCACGCACACACACAAATTCAATTTCCTATCCACTTAGCCATTGATTATAATGCTGGGGGCATGCCTCATACCCTGAACACTGCACACCATTGGCTTCCTGCCGTTCTGTCCTTCCAGCAGCAGCAGCAGCAGTACAAATCTATCCATCTCCTTGCGAACCCTGGCATTTCCGCTATCACTCGGCTTTAATTATGCCACCCCCTGCCCCTCACTTTCTGTATATCCAGAAATCCCAGAAATCCTCTCATCAATAGATGAAATATGCCTGTCAATGCGGATGCTCGCTGCTGCCTGCCTCTGCCCCCTGCCTTTGGGCCATCATCAGTCATGGGCATATTTTGACAATGGGCATTAGTCAGAAGCTACTCGTCCAACTAGGATCCACTTGGATCCACTCTCGACCCCTGGAACTCATTTGCAATCGAAACTTGTCCACGGGGCTGACAATCAGTGAGATTTGCTGCTGTTTCTGCTGTTGCTGCTGCTGCCATGGCCATGGCTTTTCGACCGAGATAGACGCTGTGTCGGAACTCTGTCGGAAATGTGGGCACAGTCATCGCTCTGGGGGACACATCAAAACGTTGGCTAACAATGCTGCCGCGCCCACGCTCCCCCTAGCAAATGGCCAATCAATATTTTTTTTTTGCTGTTTCCTCAATTTTCCCCCAATTAATGGGTGATGATGCGCTGCTTATGTGCCATACAGTCATTCGATCAATCAGTTGCCACTTTTTGGTGCCCCAAAAGAAGACAAAATATTTCACTGCGGCTGTCTCTGGCAAGTGCTAAATTGAATGTGTCTGTTGCAGGCCATTTGCAGGTCTAATTGGCCAAGGATGAGAGGCTCCAAGTGAATGTTTCGTATAATTATCCTGCAGGGAGCGCATGAGACTAGCTCGGTGAGGGTTTTTATTAAATTAGGAATAGGATTAGGATTAGCATTCGATTAAATATTTGTACTTCGATTATTTTCCGATGAATTTTCTCTTCAACGTCAGCAATCAGCCGAGTATCTCTATCGATTGTTGCTGTGCCTATATCCATTATTTATAGTAGGATGAATCTAAGGATTAAGCGAACATTCGATAACAAATTATACAAATCTAAAAATGTCTATCAAATCTGTTCATCGAAATAAAATCCGAATATGCAACAAATCTTTAAAATCGGAATGATTGCCATATCTATTGATCCCAGGGTTTTCTCATTACAACGATGAAACGCTCTAATAATCGATTTCCATTCATTCATCTTTCGAGCAAACATTCTAAAAGCAGAACCAAAGCAGAACTTCAGCCCCCATTTAGCTCTTCAATGCAAACCGGAGAAATGCCTTCCACAAGATTTACTACATTATCTGGCAATCTACTTCCGTTTGCTCCCTGACTCTTCTCTCCCCTCTTTCCCCGAACGTGTCTGTTTCCACACACACACAAATCAGAAATCACTCAGAAATGACCGCAGAAACTAAAATCCTTAAATTGCTTTAGCCACAGGCAACAGGACAACAGGAAAACATGACAACAGGGAATAGGAAGTCTGGAAAAAGGGGGAAGACGAGAGAACAAAGAAAGAGAGAGATGACAATGCCAGGCATCGGTTTAACAATCCTTGAGGCATTTTTTGGGCAAATAGTCTGACACTTGGCTGCTGCCTGCTGCCTGGCTTGCTTTGGCATCCTTTGTGGGCGCGCAGCACTTTCAGCTGCACAACTCTTCTTGCTGTGGATCAGCGGCCCATGCAAAGCGCCATGTCAAATGCAGGGCCAGACTGAAAGGACTATACAGCAAAACACATTAAGCCAAAGGAAAAAGGAACAGAAGCGGGCAAAAAGCAAAGCAGTATAAGCATAAGGAGAAGCAGTAGAAGCAAAAGGAGAAGCAGCATTAGAAACCAGAAAAACGAAGCAATAGAACAGCAATAGAAGTAGTAGCAGAAGCAGACGTTGAGCGCAGCAGCACAAGCAGTTAGAGGCTTAAAAAGAAAGCTGCAGCTTTCAGAAGTCGCAGCTTAAGATACTCTAAACTCCGCAACTCTCCAAGGAGCCATGCGAAAAAAAGGGGAGCTCTGTGAAAGGAAAGTGCATTTTGAAAAAAAAAAAAAAACGGCCACACAACTGCAGGGCAAGAAGTCAAAAGGCGTCAAGAGGCTGAGGCTCTTTCACTCCCTTTTGCTGCTGCCTCTTTTTGTTTGTCTCTCGGCTTTTAATGCGTTTCGTGTGGGTGGATTTTGAGGTGAGGCATGTGGCATGGCATGTGGCTGTAGTTTTCTGCTGGTGGCTTCACTTGTTTAATGATAGTTATCCACACACACACACACACAAATGTGAGCACTCTCTAACGCGCGCGCCCATTGGCTTTTCCATGGGCGTGTTTAGCTTTTTTTTTTCCGCGCGCAACCCGCAACTGGAGCACAAAGTCAACAACAAAACGGGGCAGGCAGCGGCGGTTAACGCCCGCAGAAAAGCGGTGACTGAAAGAAAAGAAAAAAGGAAGAGCAAAGAAAAACACGCACACACACAGCAGAGAGCAGAGAGGTGGCAAAGTGTCAGCAGAGGCACAAAAAGAAAGTCCGGTGGGTGTGTGGGGTGTGGGGTGTGGAGGAGAAAGGTAGAAGGAAGGAGGAGTATTAGCACACGATCGCCAAACAAAAGCCGTTGCATACTTTTGTGCGGCCTGCCAAATCCTTTTTTCCCCCAACTGCATGCCAGGCCGCGGCACTGTACCCCGTACATCTGCAGCTCTAAATGACACCTTGACACCTGATGGTGTGAGAATTCGCCTAGGATATGGATGCAGCAGCAGCAGCAGGGAGCTGTCAGGTCAAGTTAACTTTTGGGCAAATCAACAAAGGATTTTCATTCATGTGATGATGCCAGCCTAGCCCACAGGAAAAAAAAAGTACAGTCATGACAGATATGGCTATGGAAAAAAAATAGTAGAAAAGATGAAAAGTGCATGGGGAATGTATGAAAACTATAAATGAAAAGGTTTTGCATTTGCTTTTTGAGTTGAATGATGCTTAAAAGAAAGTACAGTCACACAAAATATGGTTATTCAGGTTATGTTAATGGGGAAAAATGTAGAAAATGAAGAGAGTACTGAAAGGAAAAGGGTTTCAAATGGGAACTATACACAGAGATGCAAGAGCCAAAACAGATAAAGGTACAAATTACTATGGAAACAATTTAAAACCCATAAAATGGGTACAGTTGCGCATAAAATATGGTGGAAAAGTGTAAAATGGAAGAAAAGAAGCTTTAAAACGAACCAACAAGTAAAGTGATTAATAATAGTCCAAGTTGTATTACTGCATCCATTTATCCTTTACAATTCGATATCATATACAGCAGCATAACCAGCACGCGTATCGATCTACCCCTTGGCTTCCTTATACATTTTTGATTTATTTGCTTCCGAAAATAACTGAGATTATATTTATAGCTGGACTTATAGCCTCCTTCAATAACATTTACTCAACAAACAGAAACAGGCCCTATAAATCTCTCAATCAATATTTATGCACAATACGAGTATAAAAACGTATTTGTTCAGTCTGAAAATGTATTCCTGAATCAATTTCATTCACTCGGTTGCCACAACAACCACAGCCGCACAGCCCATCAATCATTCATTCATTTCTTGAGTGACTCGACTCGCAGGGCCATACA